CCCGATGTATTTGAGAGAAACGTGTCTTGCCCCAGGACAGATTTATTGTATAAAGAGCTCTTGAGTTCAAAATAAGTTGTGCTGTGTGCCGTCTTCCCCTAATTATAAAGCGTTTTACTGTCCAATCATCATGAACTGCTTTAGCTTTATCGTAACTGCAAAACTTGTGAAAAAAGTAGTGAAAAGCACTTACATAAACTCATCTCTGTGAATAATAATAGGATTAAATTTCAACATAAACAGTGAGCTGACAAAAAGGACGGCCCCTTCCAGAGAAAGGATTTGTTTGGTTGCGCACGGACTTATCCCAAAATGAACTCTGTATGATCTGAAATAAAGGCCTTCCGATAAGACCCGGGGTGGTGAGAGAGGGTTATTAGAGGAATGAGAAAAATGCAGAAATGAAAAGAAAGTGAAAATTTGGCTGTAGTTTAAAGTGACGGCTCCTCTCGGGAGGTCCGTCATGCCTCTGTGATCAGCTCCTGCTTCACCTGCTCCAGACAACAGGCCCATGGTTCATATTTAATAATTCAAGATGAGATTAGAGCAGAGCAATGGAAGTGTGAAAGTAACCAGGCGTATTATTAAACTTGATTTAAAGTGCTATGACAGGCTGAAGTACTCTTTTGATTAAAACACATTTAAGATTATTATATTTAAGATTTTACAAAACATTCAATTTTTTTTCTTCCTCAGATTGACCATTTTATAGGTTTCAAATTTTACTTCATGGTTGGTAATCATAACATCACACTAGGGTGGGACTGACAGATAAAAATGTAAGAAAACATTTTTATTTTGTGAAATAATGTTTAAAGTCTCAGTTAAATGAGTTTGTAAGTATAAATTGTGTCAATCTTTTGGATAGAATTCTCCCTAGTGTGATGTCCTCGATTAGCCCGATTCACCAGTCACTTTCACTTCATCAGTCGGTTTTCCATGAAGTGAAACTGTCTGATGAAGTGAAACCGACTGATTCAACAGTCACTTTCACTTGATGGAAATAGTGTGACCTTGCAGCATTAGGATTCGTTCGCTTGATGGTAGGCGGGTACTTTTTTAGATAACCAATCGCTTTAATAACGTCTTTCCCCTTGATAAAATTCAAACATTCTCTTTGTTCCGGCTTTAAATCCTCAATCTCGGGAATCGTTGCCAACGCAGAATGCACGTCTTCGTCTACATACATCTCGACCAGTTTGTTTACTGTTGTGCTGTACCACAAAAGGGACCCAGACAGGCGCTTGAGTTTGACGTCATGGCTTCACAGCTCAGGTCTACAACTTCCAGGATTCTTGCAAACCGTCTAGTGTACCGTCTACTGGAGAGAAATGAAACTGAGAGGAGGCATTAGGTGGCGCCAGCCTGGCTAGTCCTCAGTATGTTTTAGAACTCTCTACTTCCTGTAATTTTCAACATATTTTTCAACTTTGCTTCACAAATTTCTTCTTGATTGTGTAAAACTATAATTTATATTGATAAGTATTATTCCAGCTGGTTAAGTACACATTAGAGAATCGTCAATATTTGTCATATACACGATAAGATTGTGACTAACATTATTTACTGTTGTAGCTCCAGCTTGCAGACGTGAGCAGACTTGAGCTTGAGACAGAGCAGTGCCTCCGGTTAGCGTCACACCCCCAGGGAAAGTTGATGACATCAGCTGCAAAGTATCAATAAAGTCAGGACATCCAGACACCTCTGTGCTGCAAGGCAACAGTGATAATGACTCTGCCACCATGCTGTTAAAGGTGTAGCTACACATATGCAAGAAATTATTTGACTTTTTGATTTGTAGAATAAACCAATTCAAATAAAACAAATCAACGAAAATGGACCAGCTCATTAGCGTAAATTACAGATATTCATTGGAAGTGTTGACAACTTTACGGTTCTTTATTGTGATGACGTTTCCGGCGTCAGCTCCCACTGGTCATCACCGTTTTCTAACACGGAAGTGAGTGGACTTGTTTATTTTATTATGTTTTAGATTAATATTTATGATTTAAAATGTGCAAATTATAACATATTGATCATAGATTATAACTAGCAGACACAAGCACAATATATCTTCTTTAAAATACTAAAAACACTAGTATTTGATGTACTTTTTTACATTCCATGCATCAAGTATTTGTAAGCATATCATGTAAAAAATGCAAAAATATGTATACAACATTTCACTTTTCTCTTCACAAAATATATCTTAATTTTATACCCACGTTGCCTCATATATTATCAGAAATTGTCGTTGTTTTGCCCACCACGTTTTGTATGGTAAAGTCATTGAGGCGTTGATCGACCCAAAGGGAGAAAACGCATTCACCTCTCATCCATCTGTGATAACACTCAGATTTCACACCACCTCCGCCCGTCTCTGCTTCGTATACTCCGCTGAAAGTTATTCAAAAGATCAAAAAGGAAGTTACGGATCCATTTCACCTCTGCTTTCACTCAAAACTCTGCAAAGTTTGAAAAAAAAAAAACTTCCTATAGCTATAGCATTTAGTCTGTCACGCCTTAGGGACTGTTGTTGCAATGAGGCCTTCCCTGCTCATTAAACCGCCCGTGCGTGTGTTTTACGGGCTCTCAAAATGACAGTGAACACATCATTAATAGCGGATCAGGAGGGTTTGATGTCAGTGGTTACACAGGGTTAGCTCCTGTGTAAGTAGCATGTGTTAGTGAAGTGGTTTATAGTGGCAAAAGCACTTAAAAACAGGGGATCGGATTTCATCTGCGAAAAGTGTGTCTGTAAAACGTCTGCGCTACTCTTGACAGCGTATTATTAGTTTTGTGTGTTACATAAAACCATATAGGTATTTGTGGGCTGGAATTTCTTCACTGGAGCCAGATAGATTGAGAACGTCGAGATCTTTGGATTTAAACTTATTTTAGCAAAACACCAGTTCAAAAATCCAAGTTTAATTAACATGTATTCAATTACAAATGTGCCATCGGGGGCAATGCAATAAGAAATGTATAACTTAAATCACTTTCAAAGGTGATAATAAATTATTAGAAAACTTTATTATGAATCCGTGTATCATTTGCTTATTCGTTTTTCAATATAAAACCAAAAATAAGAAAAAAACAAAAAAAAAAATTTAAAATTAATAAATAACTTTTTTTTTTCAGTTTTCGATTTTGTGTTTAAATGAATAATGGAAAAAATGAATAACGACCATTTCCTGTTCACATGACTTAAACTGCAATGCCAGACTGAACCAGGACTAAACCAGGACTAAACCAGACCGGGATCAGACCAGGACCAGACAAGGACTGACTACGGGACCGGGACCAGGACTGAGACTGGGATCAGACCGTAACTGAGACCAGAATTGAGACCGGGAACAGGACCAGGACTGAGACCGGGACCAGACTGTGACTGAGTTTGGGAATAGGACCAGGACTGAGGCCGTGACTGAGACTGGGATCAGACCAGAACTGAGACCAAAATTGAGACCGGGAACAGGACCAGGACTGACACCGGGACTGAGACCGGGATCAGACTGCGACAGAGACCGGGACCAGACCAGGACTGAGGCCAGGACAAGACCAGGACCAGATCAGGACTGAGACCAGACCTTACTGAGACTGGGACCAGATTCGGAGTGAAAACGGTTTAGTCCTGGGTTTAGTCTTGGTTTAGTCCGGCATTGCAGTTTAAGTCACATAAATGGGAAACCGTTGTTATCTGTTTTTTCCATTCATTTAAACAACAAAATTGAAAACTGAAAAAAACAAATTGTTATGTTTTTTTCATTTTGGTTTTGGAGACAAATAATGAAGAAAACAGTTGTTTTTATTTTTGGTTTTATATTGAAAAACGAATGAACTAATGAACAAATGATACAGATTATTATGCTTTCTTGTGGCTTTAATTCTCTTTTAAACATGCTTTTGGTCACCTTGGGATAAGCATTTCACATTTTCCAACTTACAATAAAGTCTACATTTGATTTATGAGTTTAAAAACAAGGAGTTGTTCAGATTTTTACCAGTGACACAACAATCTGGGTAAAAAGTAAACTTAACATTTGTGAGTGCTCAGAGAAGACAACTTTGGATTATTGGATTCATGAAACAAGTAAATGAATGTGTGAAAGAAGCAACATACAACGGTTTTAGTGATTTTGTGAATGTGACTTTTCGACATTAAATCATAGTACCCTTATTTCCAGACTATTGAGAGCACATCAATATAAGCCAGATCAATTCAATTTGAACAAAATTTTAAAACTGTACATAGATAGGCTGCAGCTGAACATAAGCCGCAGGTGTCCACGTCTTCAAGAATGTGTTCAAGTTCGGGCCATCTGCTTTTATCGCCTCTGAAAGCTTTTGTCATCCTTTTGCATTGAGTCAGTTCATCACGATGCCAAAGTCTTGTCAAAGACTCATTGATGCCGAGCTCACGTGCAGCAGCTCTGTTTCCTTCTTCCACAGTCACATCAATCGCCTTTAACATAAAAGCTGCATCATGTGCATTTCTTTATGTGTTTTCCATGAGGAGGGTGTGTGCATGAAGCGCAAAATAACTGTTCAAAACACAATTAAACAGCATTTTCCTCAGTGCATCACCCCTGGGCTCTACTCCACATGTCTCCTGCAGAAAAGAGCCACTGTCCTGTCTGTATCATGTCAGTGTCTTGGAGGATTTCAGCAGATTTCAGACTCTCTCGGGGGTGGGGCTAGTTGTATCGATCAAGTATGAGTGGATGTCCGGCTACTGAAGTTTGAGACGTTTCTTCCCATCATTTACGCATACGGGTACGACGTATCCCCCTCACTAATGTTAATTCAGCATCATAATTTATTTTATCACACGGCGATAAACTGTTTTAGTGCTGAGAACGTCGCTACCTAACTCTGTAACTTCATGTTAACTGCACAGACAGCGGCGTTTTCTGCACTCAGGCTGTGTGTCCAAATCACAGACTGTATACATGAATGGACAATGTGCCAAACAAAGAATCAGTCTACATATTGTTTTACACATTGTTTTATAAGACGCAGGATTCAACGTGTGAGAAAAACGTAGCGGTTTATAGTCCGGAAATTACGGTACTTTTTTACCATGTGGTCTTTTATCTGTCAGCCGTCCAGGAATGTTCCGTAGTGGTCCATGGGCGTGTACTCGTCCATGTGCTCTTGTATTTCATCATTCTAAAGCTGTTCACGAAAGGTTCATTTCTGTTCTGTGAATGTGACTTTTTAGTATTGATACGTGCTTAATGAATATGAGAAGACAGTTTTAGGATTTTCGATACTTTTGACAACCCTGCTGCCGTGTCATTGTACAATTATAATAACATTTTCCTTAGAATCCAAATAGCTGCAATGTTGCCTTTTATTACAAAGCTTTTAATTAAAACTTAAAATTTTCTGTTATATGCAGCATTTTGAACTTGCTTCCTGCTCAAAACATACTGGATTTAGTCTTGAATTGATAATCACACTGACAACAGTCCAGGTTTTCCATCATTATGAAATCCACGGGAAGGTTCATTGTCTCTTTTCTCTGTAACCTCCTTCTAAAACATGTCCTCTCCTTTAAGGTCCTCGTTTGATGGACCCTTCACCAAAAAAGTTACTCACTGCACCTTTAACTTTGCATGAAGAGGTGGAAGTTGGCGCGTGTGAACTCCTGGTGTATGGTCTCCAGCAGGTCGTCCCCCTCCTGTGGCCCCTGAGCCCCCTCCTGCCTGCGGCCCTGCTCGGGACCCCGGAGGACAGGGGCCAGCTGGAGCTCAGGCGTGTAGGTGAAGCTGTAGGGCGTGCGGAAGATGATCCCGTCCAGTCTGATGATGGTCAGTGGGACAGTGATGGTCCTCCGGAGACAGCGCCAGCCCTCAGAGAAGACAGAGACATCAGGGACCACACACACCAGGGACTTGGGGGACCTGAGGAGAAAACAATAACGGTCATTTTTAAAGTCAATGCTATAAGACAGGTGTGTCAAACTCAAATTTAAAAACTGAGACTAAGTCATGGGCCAAACTAAATATTTATTGAAAAATTTCAACAACATCTGTATGTTTTCTCTTCTTTCAAGATGTGTAAATTTTAAACCTTTTCTTATTAAAATAAATGTGTAGTAATAGTTTTGCATAAACATTGAATCCAGAACAAGCATAATATAAAATAATAACATTTTAAATAAATAATGTCTGTATAGCCTATCTGTAGCCGGCCGGCCAGCTCTAATACATGTTTGATATGATCTCACGGGCCAAATATAATTAGTCCTGCTTAGTCTTGTTTTAGACCTTATTTAGTAGAACAGGTGCTACTTTTAGAGGATACTTGGTGTGCAAAGTTTGAGAAGTCACTTGTGTTGTGTTACCTACTCTGTGCCAGTTCAGTGTTACAATAAGTATAAAAATGCATAATAAGTTGAAAAATTTTAGAACCAATATGAATCAAAACCTTTATAATTACATTATTATATTATTTTCATTACATTTATGTGTCACGATATCTGTATTTTTAATTTTTGTTTTACTTTTATGTGAAGCACTGAAGTTGTGTTAAATGTGATTCATCAGTCGGTTTTACCTTGTAGAAACCATCTGAACTCGCAGCATTAGGATTCGTTTGCTCGATGGGAGGCAGGTACTTTTTTTCATTTAACCAATTGCTGCTATTTGGTACGTATGTAATGGGCCATTAACAGGGCTAACTGGTATATTAAGCTTTTCCCAAATCCCGTAGGAAGGGCAATAATATCTATCCCCTTGATAATGTTCACCAAACATTCTCTTTAAATCCTCGATCTCGGGAATTGTTGCCAACACAGAATGTATGGCTCTTTGCTGATTGGCTGGAGCCTGAACTTGCACTTCCGGGGTTCTTGCAAATCATCTAGTGAATTCCGATTCCTGAACTAGTCGCTGGAGAGAAATGAAAATGAGTGAAGGCACTAAGTGGTGCCAGCCTGGCTAATATACCGTATGAATAAACTTGAAAGGTTTAAGAATTGGTTATCAGTCTTCGAGACTCAAAAATTATCCACTTTAACAGTAATATTTCTCACAATAAAAGTCACTGTGTCACTTTTGTAGTGCTTGTTTCCATGGAGATGATATTGTTTTACATATGTCCCACAGTACACCATTAAACTTATCTGTCTTGCAATTAGTCAATAACAGTGATTTTTTTCCCCCCTTTTAATTGGTTGAAAAACAATCATTATTGCGCCAAGCAGGCTCAGCTCTCCACAGATCTGACCTGGAACTTGGTCTAGTGGTGTCAGCAAATTAACATGGAGACAAGCAAGCGATAACACTTCCATCAGAAAAGTTACATAATGCACCTTTAGTTTCACACGACTGCGCGTTTTTCTTATCCAAAGTTAACTCCACAATTACCTTGACTATGCATTTTCTTCTTATTAAAAACCGAATCCTCGAAACCTACCGTGTATATAGAATCGCTTACATTGAAATAAACGTGTGGGCATTATATAACCCTCTCTGCTGACTGTTAGACTTTCTGCTGTTTTTCATTCAAACCTTACTCAACCTCGCTGCGGTGCGGGAGACTCACGTTTCTAATTGGCTCCAGTCCTTTCGCACAGACTGCTCATTGTGGATGCTATACAAACACATTATGGGCTACCTCTGCTGCTGATGGGGGCATATCCGCAGATGGGACGTCCTGACCAAGCCATGCCTCAGCACTTTGCATTATGGGTGTGGGGTCTGGCGAGGGCCCTGACGTCAAAAGGGGGGCTCCGATTCTGAGTAGTCGCGTGATTAGGGTTAGGCTATTTCAGAGTGGGTTTAGACCATGAAGGTTAGGTTTTACTAAAAGGTCTTTATTCAGGTTCGAGGAGGGTTGGCAAAGGCTCAGAGAAAGGATATGGACACCTAGAGAGAAAGCGGTAAACTGGATGTCACGCAGAGTTTGAATTAAGATCAGAGGAGGGATGCTTTGAGGGAAATGCTTTTGAGGGATTTATAGGAAGAGAAGTTAGAAGATAGTTGGTCCTAAGCCTGGGTGGTAATACAGTCAAATAAGGCTACGTTTATATGATGACGGTCTGAACAGAAGACACAAAAGTGGCGTTGTGTCTTCACTTTTTATTTCGCATTTAGAGAAGTTTTTCAGGAGGAAATCTGCATGCATACGGTGACGCAAAAGTATGGAAATTCGATTGGATATGCATGCCATCCGACATGTCACATGTTCTGTGTACTGTATGTATATGACGTAAACGTGACGCGATGTGAGCAGATCTGACCAGAGTTTTGCATCTTGGGCAGTGTAGACAGAAGCGCTACGGCGGAGCATATTCAACTTTTCCACTCTGGAGGTTGGTTTCAGATTTTTGCGTTTTTGAGCCCCCAAAAACTTTGTCACCGTCTAAACGAAAGGCACTTCCGATAAAATATTTTAGCGTTTTTACCTGCAAGCATTCTCGTGTAAACAGGCCCTAAAGTCTTATTTGGTTCACAGTAGAGCTGTAGTCCTGCCCTCGAGAAACTTTATTGATCCCGAGGGAAATTCAAGTTTTGCTGCAGCAACATTTACAGTTCTCAGTCGCTTCTGTGTCCCAGTTACAGGTCTCAGTACAGTTTAACAGGAGGACTGGTCAGGTACGGTCAGCAGATCTGTGTCAGGGCAGTTTGAGGAGAGAAGGAGCCAAAAGTGTCTCTCCTCTGTCTGTGTTTCCTCTGGAAGGTCTCAGAATATTTCCACTAGAAGAACTTCTAGCACATTTCTTGCATTTCTTAGTTTGTTAAAATCCCATGATCTGATGTTGAAAAATTAGCTAAAAAAAACTGTACCAGGTCACCACAAAGGAGAAAGTACGAATAAAGCAAAATAGGACAACAGGTAGGTTTTTGATGAGGGAACTATGGTAAAAGTACAACCTGGGAACGTCTAGTAATTTGCAAATTACAGCCCCACCTCTGTGTTACTTGCAGCACATTCACACTGGATAAGTGAAGTCTGTAAATCACCCTATTTTACTGGCATTAATACAGAGATTGAAAGAGAAAAAACCTGGAAAGAAAAGAAAAAGGTAAACCCTTTTTGCACAGGATTAGTTTTACCTGGAGTCCCCTCTTAATTGTAATAATTACAAATGACGCCTGTGTTTCTAGTCCCTTGTGAATCGTCCATGTCTGTAAAAATGTCTGTAAAAATTCCCTCAAATTTTACCTCCTGCAATTCTGCAAACTCAAAGCTCCTCCTGTGAGTTTAGTCCTGTGTGAGCGCTCATTTCTGTAAATTTCCCTGTTTTTCCTCTGTGCATTGAAGCCAGTAGTGATTGAAAATGTCTTTACGTCCTATTTTAGGTTCAAATACAAAATAAATCAACTATTCTCCACAGACTATACTCTTATCCAGCCATTGTATTTTTGTACAATTAAAAGGTAAAAAGTAAAATTTTTAATATCAGAATGAATGGATTAAAAGAGAGATGCTGGCCGATTCATAAGTAACTCTGATGGTGTGGATGTCATAGTGATCACTGTTGCCGATCACATCAATGCAGAAAGAAACAGTGTTGGACGGTACACTGCCAAAGAACAAACTGAAAATAAAAGCAACGTTGGGGACACGATGAATTAAAAGTTTCTGGTGTTGTTCTGGTACATTTATCAGTCCAACATTTCCGGAATAAAGTAAAAACTGGTGGTTTACTGACATTGCTTATGGCGTGCGAATGTACACAAAAAACTCAAACGTTATGGGTAATTTAAAATTTACAAACATCTCGAGGTAAAACTAATCCTGTGTGAATAGGGCTATAGAAAAGGCACGCAATTACAACAACAAACACTGAGATGCAGATTGGCACAGGACTAGTATTATCACCGGACATCTGCTTGGCAAAATATAGTAGATAATTTGCCGTGGAATTTTTACTTCACAAATTATAGACATGGAGCATTCGCACGGGATTAAGAGCTCAGGCATCCTCTGCAATTATTACAAATCACCAAAGGTCCACAGGTAATACTAATCCTGTGCGAATAGGGCTTTAGATAGGTTTGTTTGCTTTGGAGTGAGTGAATAAAGAGCTGCTGTTGAGCTCTGTGGCTTGTCAAACCAACCTAAAAAATAAAATAACAATGTGGAGGAAATGTTGAACTCAGCACTCACCTATTGCTTAGAACCATTCAGTATCAAAGCTATAGCAGTCAGTTTTTACATTATTGTATACGTAGTGGTTCAGATCAAGCGAAAATCCATATATGGCCGTATAAATATGCACCGTCTCTGAAACCGGTCTACTGAAAACACGTCTTCTCTGAACCACTATAGTTAGTAGGTCGGCCTGTCTGGCATGTGATGTGTAAATGTGTAGATCTAGGGCACTGCTTTACGAGAGTCTGACTCAAACTTCACTGTACGTTTTCATTTAGTGTGCCTCCTACGCTGGGCCTCTGCAACTACTACAATCAGTGGAAGTGAGGGCTCAGCCTATATTCTGAATACTTAAAATACTTTCACATTTCGTTGTATAATATAGTGTAAAAACATGACACAGGATATATTAACAACTGTATATTTCTTTTGCATTTATTTAAAAAGTAGAGAAGGAAAAATTCACATAGACTACTATACATGGACTACTCTGGAACCTACCTGGATGACTGACGGATTACACAGATACAAGCCCACGTGGTAATATAAGAGAAACCACTATGATTTAAATCTGCTGTTTACATTCTATTGCCTAAATAAAGTAGCCAGATTCATCAGCCATTTGACCTCGCAGCATTAGGATTTGTTTGCGGTAGGCGGGTACTTTTTTTTTTATTTAACCAATCGCTGCTATTTGGTCATGACTTATGTAATGCACCAAATCCCGTAGGAAGAAGGGCAATAACGTCTTTCCCCTTGATAAAATTCAAACATTCTCTTTGTTCTGGCTTTAAATTCTCGATCTCAGGAATTGTTGCCAACTCAGAATGTATGGCTTGACCGCTTTGTTTACTGTTGTGCTATACCACAAAAGGGACCAGACATGGCTTCACAGCTCTTCGCTAATTGGCCAGTGCACAGTCTAAAACTTCCGGGCTTCTTACAAACCATTTAGTGTATTCCGATTTTTGATCTAATGAAATTGAGCGGAGGCACTAGGTGGTGCCAGCCTGGCTATAAATAGAGTCATTGTTGTGGTATCAGAATCAATATTGAGTATCAAGTCTATTCTTAACAACACTAATCTAGAGTAAAAAAAATGATTCGAGGTAATAGTAAAGTGCTCTAGTCTAGTTATTTACCATATTTTTTTGGACTATAAAGCGCACCCGATTATAAGGAGCATTAAGTGAAAGATAACAGACAAGTCAAACTTTAAACAACTCATTCACAATAGCTCAGCCCAGGCACAGACTTCCACGATCCATTGGGGGGTAACTTGCCCAGCATTGCCTCCCTATCGCGGTGAATGTGTATTACTCCGCGAGGCTCCTAACTACAATAGCCGTAATGCTCAGACAATCCATCAAGCGGTGCAGCTTCATAGCTTACTAAAGTTGTACTAAAACATTTTGACAGATTTTTGAGCTCCATGTACCACATAAAATCGGTTTGAGATCAGTAAGCACAACCAGAATTAATACATAAGGCACACTAGATGTCGATTTTTGAGAAAATTAAAGGATTTTAAGTGCACCTTATAGTCCGAAAAGTACGGTAATTTAAATGTGCACTGTGTAACTTTTCTATAGAAGGTTCTGCCACTTGCTTGTCTTCGTTGAGATGTTATCGTTTTGTCTGGAATGTCTCAGTATGGCATTAAGCGTATCCATCTTACATGTACTCGACAACATGGGTAGTTACTGATCTAATCACTTTCATTCTTACCGTAAGAATGAAAGTGATTAGATCTGACATGTAACTTGGCCCTGTGGCGTCATCTGTTGTCTCCGATTGAGATAAACAAGTGTGATGAAATACTGTGGAACATTTCAGGCAATATCTCAATGGAGAGAAGCAGATGACGGACCGTCCACCAGAAAAGTTACACAATGCAGCTTTACTCTATTTCCCTGAGCTCATAAAACCACTTCTTGGTTTTATTAAGCTACTTTTACTGCCAGTTTGTGCCTCTGATCATCACCAGTCACTCACTCACTCACACACCACATTCATACAGTACATAATATTAGTGAAGTGTCTTGCCAAAGAGAATAAAAAAAAAGCAGGAATTGTTTGATGCTGGAATCACAGGAAACATCCAAACCAACCTCAATGACCTGACATGAGCTGGCGTTTCCCAAAAATGTAACAGAGCAATAAAACTAAATGACATGTATTTAAATCACAGGTATGAATTTACCGTCAACACATTTTTGTTCCTCCCACCGGTTTAGATTTCCACGGTCAAGAACAAAACACAACCTTAAAGGAGTTGTACCCACATTTTTCCAAGTAATAAAGTATAAATTTTGTTTGCCACAGTAGATATATTGTAAAAGCAGCTCTTAAGGTAAAAACTAGACTGCTGTGTGTTGTCTGCATCTAATTAAATCATCCACAAACCAGGAACAAACACAGATGTCTGTTAGCATGCTAGTTGTTGTTAGCATTACAGTCACAGCAAAATTCCACTCTACTCTCTGAAAGTTGTGAAGTGCTTATAACCTCGTAGAGAATAGTTAGGAATGTGTTAGGAAAGGGAGAGATGGTTTTGGACTGTTGCAAAGAGTAAAATGAGCTAGTTCTGTTGTTCATGTTTTCCAGGGCCCAGATTTAGAGCCTGTGCTTATTCATTTATATTAGAGTGTGGCCCATGTAAGCCTTCTTGCCCCGGGCCTCAAATTACTGTTGACGGAGCTGGGTACAGCGCACAAACAAATGCTTTTGGACTTAAGGAAGTGGTTTGGATTGGCAGCAGGGGTAAAGGTATGGTGCATATTAAAAATTATACTGTAGAAGGTGTATGAACTTTAAAAACACAGAGAAGCTTCAGGGATTGTTGGAAGGATTTTGAGCACTAAGATGACACACTATATATTACAAATTAATGTGACCGAGTTCAGGAAGCAGTAATAAAGCAGAGCAACAAACACGTTTGCAAGCTTTTGCACATTTGAAAATATTTTTTTATTGACATAAAGTAACTACAGTCCCATTTGAAGCATGGACTGTATATAAAAGTGGACTAAGCGAATGTGAAATCACCCATAGCATTTAGTGCCACTCAAATGAAGCTTGGTTACAGGAGCAAATTTGGAGCAAGGCTCCATATTTGGAAATCTGACCGTGAGTATCATAGCAACCACAAGAGCCAATCATGATTGAAGTTGCTAAATGTGCCCACCCTCCTCACCGGAAAGCAGGAAGGGGGCTTACTTAGCAATGAAACACACTAACTGTCAATCAAACACTAGTGGGACTGACCTCAGGGAATGAAGGCATCTGATTGGTCTGTTATTTATGTTCATATCTTGATTTAGGGACAAAATAGCAAAATGAAAAATACGAGATCATGTAGAGTGGGTTAATACAAACATTTTAAGACCAAAATGGCAAGGCTCACTGCAACAGTTACAGAGAGAGGGGCCACAATATCCCAGTGTAAGGGTATTGGAGCCAGGGTCAGAAGGAGCCGGAAGAGCTGCCTGGCGTAAGTAAGTCTTTTATTTATATAGCGCTTTGTCACAAAGACACTTTACAGAGCAATATTCATGTACTCCACACCCAGTGATGGTAAGCTACTACTGTAACCACAGCTGCCCTGGGGCAGACTGAAGCGCGGCTGCGTTGCCAGTCGGCGCCATCGGCCCCTCTGACCACCACATCACTCATGCACACACCACTTTTATATTAGACAATGTGGGTGATGTGCCTTGCCTAACACAACTGGCGCCCCCCTGTGGCACCTGATTTTCCCAGTGGTCTCCCATCCAAGTACTAACCAGGACTGGCCTTGCTTACCTTCTGGGATCTGAAAGGATCAGGCTTTGACAAGCCGGTATGACTTGACATAGGTAATGTACTTTTTATTTGGAATGTAGAGGCTAGTATATTAGCTATGTCCATTCATATACATGGTCTATGATTTTAAGTTTGGACAATTTTACTGAAATGTCATCCTTCATTATTTATTCTGTGCTGTGTTTTACACTGTCCTACATTGCCAACTTAGTCCTTTTTATCAGAGGTGTAATACTCCCTACAAGAGAAGCATACCAGTTTGAACCTTGCTTGAGCTAACAATACTATGTTTTGACAGGTTTCCATTTCCCGGGTCTTGTACTGATAGTAAATAAACTTGTCCTAAACTTCAGTGCCTTGTTACGTAATAAAGTTTGTTTGCAAATTTGCTTCTTAAATATAAATAAACCTAAAAAAAGATCCAGTCCTTTGATGGCTGTTTTGAATAATGAATCCCAAATATATGGCTCCCATTGAATAGCTAAAATCCCATCTCAACAAAACACTTCTCCTGGTATGTATTTGATGAAAACACTACAGTTAATGTGGAAATGTTCATGTTACATAATCTAGGTCCTAAAATAGCTTGTACGCACTTGAACATAGTCTCCGCTTCATGACTCCCAAACCACACTTTGACATGCGGGCTGAAGTTCTCTCCATGGATCTCCAGCATCGCAACATGTCCGCCACCATTTACCTGCCAACACATCGCATGTTTACCTTACCTCCTGTGCATGTTAGATTAGCACGTTAGCATACCTGTACCTGTCCTGCGGAGCCCGTGAGACCCACCTCCAGTGCAGAAATGACGGGGAAAGGGCTGACAGGGCTTTGGGCGTGAGCCAGGCCCTGGTTAAAGCTGAACTCCACAGACTCCACCCCTATGATGGTCCAACAAGAGCCGTCGTTCAGAACCACTCGGCTGGGGTCCCGCATTGGGCACTGGGCCTGGGGGAAGAGGCCATAAATACATGCAAAAAGTGGAGAATTTGGATTAAAAGTGACAGTTGTAAGTATACAGCAAACAAATTGTGAAATGTAATTTAGAGGAGCAAGGTAATATTATGTAATATCTGTGTGCTCGCCAGAAATAGTGTACAAGTTGAAAAAGTACTACTATTCATAGTGAAGGACTGTACTTCAAATGTGAATAATGTGTTGAATGTTTCCAGGAAAGAACTACTGTCATCAACTGCTTATAATAATAATAATGCCTTGTAATGCACTTTCCAGGCTCGACAAAGCTCCTCAAGTGCTACACTGCATTCATTATTCATTCAGTCCACACTCTGTAGTGGTAAGCTACTACTGTAGCCACAGCTGCCCTGGGGCAGACCAACAGAAGCAAGACACCAGCAGTCAAGGGCACACACCACTTCCATACTAAGACACAAGAACAGAACTTGGTTGGAGCAGGAAACAATCCTCTGGCCTCTGGGTTGGGGAACCACTGCTCTAATCCCTGAGCCACTGTCAGTATCAGTATCAGTATCATTATTAGACTTAAAATATGGCTGTATGTTTACACAATTATGCAATTATTTTATAACCTAGACCAGGTGTCACCAACCTCTTTGAAGCTGAGAGCTACTTTATGGGTACTGAGTCATATGAAGGGCTACCAGTTTGATACGCTCTTCTGAAATAACAAATGTGCTCAGTTTGCCTTTTGTTATACATTCTTAATGATTAATGATAATCATCTATGTGAAGACACTGATCACGTTAATGATTTCTCACAATAATTAACAATGACAGCAAGGTGGGAAACATCATGATTCAGCATTTTAACTTAATTAATCTCATAAAATGTTTGCCTTTTTTTTTTTTCCTTCTTCAAGTAAAAAAAGCTAATGTGTGAAGTTTACTAAAACATCAATTTGTTAACCTGGCTATTCATTTTTAAAATTTGATAATATCGGTATCAGTTTTAAAACTCCATATTGGATCATCCCTATTGCTGAGCACTACTGACCTAAACATCCACAATTAACTTGTTTTCTATTCTATACAGATAAGACAAAGGTTGAAAAAAAAAGACAGTTCACGTGTAGTGAGTTGTTCCCATTGTGTCCATAATTCTGAAGTTTTATCATTTGTTTAGATAAATAGACATGTCAAAATGGTGTTACTAACAGTACCATGTTATGTCTAGTGAATGGTTTCTATAAAGTAATGAAAAAGCAGATTAGATATAGTAGTCCTCACGTGGTATTGGATGATGTTGTCGTTGGACAGGCACAGATAAGACTGTGGACTGTCTCTGAACTGGAACGCACATTTGTGAAGCTGAGACACCGGCTCGTCCACGTCCAGGATGGCGTGCTGCTTGTTCACTTTACGGATCACCTACAAACAATATCAAATACAGATTTAGGAATACAGGCCAGGTGAACAGATGGGGGCGAATTTATCCATTTTACATCTTCTGCTTTGCGCTTAACCTGAAAATGTCTCTATAAAATGTCAAATATCAGGAAGAAATAAAGTCAGTTTGGCTTAAGATTACCGACCACATCCTCATAAAAAGTAAGATTGTATTATATAGTCAGATGTTACACTGATTTGAACATGAGCAGTGGATGTTTTTTAAGAATATAGAGGTTATAGTGGTCAGTAGATTAGCACAGAGAAGAAAATTGGGCCAAATGCAGCCCTCAGACCAGTTTTCGTTGGCTGAATTGACCCAAAAGATCATAGGCAGAACTTTTTACTTCAAATTTAAGTTATTCTACCGTCATAACCGCAATAACAAACATGACACAAGTTTTAAATTAATGTTCCAAGCCTATAAAAGGTAAGATGGCTCTGTCAGATGCGTGTATCTGGATGATTCAATGAATGCACCTGGTCTGTGGCCCTCAGCTTCAAACATGTGTCAATATGAGGCCCTTGATTTGACATTCCTGGCATAGAGAATGGGAGTTAACCGGAGAGACGTCATCGTGGGCGTCTATAGCATAGGGGTTTGGTGATGATTTGGTAACTTTGTGGTAGGTCTTTACCTCCTCACATCTGTCTACATTAAAATAGCAAAGCAAGCAGCCCACAAACGTGTCCACACAATTTAGACCACCCTTATACCTTAATATTTTCTGTTCTACTGGCCAAAGCACAGGCCAAATACACGGGATCTATTACAATGTTACATATATTCACATACGTACAAATCACATACATACAAATATACTGAAGCACAAAGAACAGTACAAATAACATTCAGAAATCAGACAATGAAGCAATCGGTTCAATTAATTATAAGTTAATAAAATAGAATCAAAATAAATAAGGAAGAAAATCTAGTTAAAACCAACTGAAAAAAAATTTAGAAGTGATTTAAAAGAAGATACTGATGGTGCGAGCCTTATCTCCTCAAGCCGGTCGTTCCAAAGCTGAGGCGCCCGGACTGAAAATGCTCCATCACTTTCGTCCGGAGTCTGGACTTTGGAACAGCCACAGGGACCTGCCTGAGGATCTAAGGCTCATACAGGGTTAAAAGTTCTAAAATGTAACTTGGTGCAAGACCTAAACGAGCTTTAAAAGTGTTCAGTAAAATCTTAATTCTAAAACACACAGGCAGCCAGTGAAGGAAAGCTAAAACGGGGTCGTCTTGCCCATAGACACAGCTGCAATAAGGTCACCTAAAAATTAAAATGCATTCACCAAACTACATTTACTACTACCGATTACTACTACTGGTGAGGCCGTTTCTGCCAGTTCCAAGGAAAGATGTGATATTTTTCTACCCATGATACACAAAATGACATCACATCCTGTTTGGGACAAAACATGTTTTGATGTTCTGAAACAGCTTGTTCATTGGTGACTATGTATAAAAAGTAATACTGGAATTTGCTCCCAGACAGAAAAACCCACATTACGTTGTGTCCACGTGCATAAAGGAAATTAAAGATGTTATCAGTGGTCTAAAATAACCATTCTTACCGTCATAAAGCTTGAGAGTATTCTATAGAAAATAAAAGTTAAATCAAAAGGAGTCGATTTCTTTGGGAAATGTGGAATTAATTACACAGATACATGCCCTCATTAGACCCAAGTTAAAATTAACCCTCAGAGAAAAAATGCTGCAGGCCAAAGGCTGGTGTTGGTATGAAAGAAGGATGGGATAGTCCTGTCAATTTGAGAGCTTGGACGACATCAAATATTGAGTCACATGTGCCAGCTAAAACCCCTCAAGTGATTTCGTGAACATTCTTTGGGGAGTAAAGGTAACTGGACTCAAGTGTTGTTACTCAATTTAGACTCAAGTTTAATCTGAGCTTTATTTTAACAGTCTGGCCATCAAGAACTTTAATATGTGAGCTGATTTGTACTGTTTAACAAGATCCCTTCAAATAACATTTAAGTCATGAGTTAGACGACTGTTTTTTTCAAGTAAAAAATGAATCTACGTCAGGACTAAGCTTGGGGTCAAACCTAGACCAAAAGAAAGAAGTTTAAGCATCGGAGGTGCCAGTCAACCTGTTGCTAAGTGGGATCGAAGACACCTGACTGGCCTGTTTTTAATGATCATATCTTGATTTAGGGACAAAATACTGAAATACAAACACCAGGATCATGTAGAGTGGGTTAAAATAAACATTACAGCAGCAGTTATAGGGAGAGAGGCTTTTTTAAGGTTTTTCAATAGACAATTCAGGCTTACGTCACAAACCAGGAAGATGTTTGGAAAGATGCGATTACAACTTCCAGTGTAGTTAAAGACATTGGGCTCACGTACCGACTGTGATAAAACCTACTGAAGTAAATGATCAGAGGTAAAATGCAGACTTTGGAGTAATCTTAAATTTGGTGCCTTATCTCTTCAAATCACATGTACTCATTGTGCTCGGAGTTGTGCGTCAGTGGTGAAATTATGAAAACTGAGGTATGGTTGTAATTGTTGATTAGCTGAACATAACAATGCTACAATGAAGAAAGAAAGATGAAGAAAACTGGGCCAAATTTTTCCTAGAACAGAGCCTGACAGAAGTTGTAGTCGCATTTTTCTAAATGTCTCCCTGGTTTGTGACATAAGAGTGAATAGAGCCTATAGACGTCAACTGCAACCAGAGCTCAAAGGAACCACTTCACACCCATGCTCACTTCCTATATGGAATGCAAGTCCATTTATATATATGCAGTCTATGGCAGTGTTTCTCAATTTTTTTTTTTTCTGGGGACCCCTATTTTAAAAGTCACAAACCATCGCGACGTAAGTCAATAGACATTATATTCGTAAATCACAAAATAAAGGTGGATTTGACCATTACTGAACATTAATGAGGATATTTTACTGTTGCCTGAGTGATCGTGTCTCTCTGAACAATTAGTTTTACTAAAGTTTAAAGCAATAAAAAAAGTAATTGAACCAGCAGTAAAAGAATTCATAAGTCGCCTATTTGGACATTAAATGTAGCCCTTTCTTTTTTCTTTTCAACTTTCAATTGAACCAGCAATATTGGAACAAAATAGTCAAAAAATACTTACAAAAAAGATAAGAAATTAAAACATGTCTTAACAATTCTAATGAGAAAGGTGGGCCTGTCTGTGTTTTTGTAGGGCGTTCCAGTCCAAGGTGCAGGAGTAGAGTACAACACGCACAGAACTATTACAGACCTACATGCAGATTGTGACAATGTGACCCAAAAAAATTCTCTTGCGATCCAGTCTTTGGGGAACAATGGTCTATGGTGGGAACCTTACAATCTGAGCCTTTAAAGTTGCGACAGAAACGCACTGATCCCACACATATGAGGAGTGCCACAACAAATTATCACTTACAAGATGTGCTATTCGAACCACACCTCCTCAAACTTGTGCTGAGGCCAATCATGATTCAGTTATGTTAATAGTTAATACTCCCTACCTCTGTACAACAACTCACCCTTATGTAATGGAATAACCCTATGTCCTGTCAATCATCATATCATTGTTGCACTGTCTTCCTTTGACCTCTTGTATGAAGCTGTGATTTTATATTTTATTACTCAGCTTTATTTTATTTTGACTTGTACATTTGTCTTATTTGACACCTGTCTCTTGCTACCTTTTTTGCTACTTATTTAGAATTTACCATTACCATTTAGATTTTTGCTCTTTGTTATTATATTTATTGTGATGTGTGAGCTACTGTGCCCAAATAATTTCCCTTGTGGATCAGTAAAGTTTGTCCAAGTCTAAAGTCTAGTTCACCACGGACAAATACTAGCACTAGTTGTGTGCATAAAGTTCACCGTAGTGTGCCGTATTTTCCGACCCCATCAAAAAACAACTGCACGCCCCACAATCCAGAGCGCCCTATACACAAATCCCAGCACGACTTTAGTAAACTACAAAGCAGCACCACCCGCAAACATGCACCGAGCAGACTGACAATGCAGCGAAAAACACCCGCAGCCACACTCATCACTCCACGCGGACAAGGAATGGAACGGAGGAACGAACCAAAAAAGCGAGAGCAATGTACCACTTCTCGCCACAACTGAACAACTGAGTCACTGCGAACACGCCAACAATCCAGCGGTCCTAGACAGCACCCTCCCTACACGCCACAACTGAACAAAGCCCAGAGTCACTGTGAACGCGCCAAACAATGTCCGACTGACCCATCGAACTGTTGTGTTTCGTTTAAAGTCTGATGCGGTTTATTTGTGAAAAAAGTTCGAAAATAGACCATTCTATGACAGTGCGCCTTATAATCCAGAGCGCCTAATAGTGTGGAAAATACGGTAACTAACTCATTCACTCACTGACCTTCTCCATTCCAAACACCTGCCCCGCACGGACGCAACCTGCAAAACCTACGATGCTGAACTTGTAACTTTTCTAGCCCATAGAATATAGCTCTACCTTTACCTCCCCAGACTGGACCACAGTGAAACAGCAGAGCCAGCAGCCAGTCAGCAGGACCAACCCCCCCCCTGAAACCTTCCAAAATCCTCAACTGTGCAAACATATAGACCTTCATACATGGAAGAGGACCCACCATCGCGCTTATTATGGGAGCAGTTAAGGAGGTGCCCGGAAGGACCTGTATTCAGCAAATTATATGGGATTCTGTGAAGTGCTTTGTCCCAACGGAGTTCAAATTGGCCTCTCGTTGAAAGCCAAACAGCATTTTTCGGATTACCATGGTTACGTAACACCGGTAACATCTGCTGGACAGGGCCACGCAGGTGATGAGAGACGGGATTTGAGGCTGAAAATTGGATATCTTTCAGCGTAGAAATATAGAAATTGCATGGTAGCACCTTGTATGTGGATTACAGTGTTTACATTGTGGAACAGTGGAGGTCTATCTGAAAGAGAAGCCCTAGATGTACTGTATAATATTTATCTTTGTCAAATACCAAGGATCATGCCTGGATATTTCCTATAATCTAATCAGGTGCCCCTCAGTACGTACCCCAGTCTCATACCACTTTTCATCAAAATATCCCAAGTCTAGACAGAAACATAGAAGAGGTAATAAAGGAAGTATTGTCCAGTGTTTTTAAAGTCAAAGAGTCATCTGTAAAAGTTCTGCCAAAATTCCTAAATAGAGTTCCTCGTGGGATTTAGGGTTTTAGTCTTGCTTATATGAATGTGATTGGCTCGTGAGAGGGTTTTTAAACTTAAAGGGCCCATATTACGCTATTTTCTGATCTATCCTATAAAGTTGTAGCCTGATTCATCAGCCAGTTTCGCTTTGTAGAAACCATTTGCCTCGCAGCATTAGAATTTGTTCGCTCGGAGGTAGGCAGGTACTTTTTTTTTTTAAATTAACCAATCACTACTATTTGGTCGTAATATTTGTAATGCGCCGCTAACGGGGCTAACTGGGATATCAAGCTTTTTCCCAAATCCCGTAGGAAGAAGGGCAATAGCATCTTTCCCGTTGATAAAATTCACCAAACACTCTCTTTGTTCCGGCTTTAAATCCTCGATCTCAGGAATCGTTGCCGACACAGAATGTATGGTTCTTTGCTGGGAATCGTCCACTGTATTCCGATTCCTGACCTAGTCGCTGGAGAGAAATGAAACTGAGTGGAGGCACTAGGTGGCGCCACCCTGGCTAATAATGTTTTTCTTAATCAAAAATATAGTCTGAGTTGTGTTTTGTTTCATTCACACAAATCCTACATATTAAAGCTGATTTCTTATCTCAAACAAAAAACGATGTCATGTGGAAATACAGGAACTGCTCCACTGTGTTTTCAAACTCCATACATCTTCACTAGAATCATTTGGAAAATTTTAGCCCTGGAGTTGCCGATTTCTACAGAACTAAGAGTAAAAGGGGAGCTGTTAACTTGAAAACAACCGCTTCATGACAACACAATGTGGAAAAGAGACTAATAAGAAAGAGTTATTGAAACATGTGTGAATGAAACAAAACAACTCCAGGTATGGGTTTGATTAGGTAACAGCATTTTAAAATGACTTAAAGTTCACAAGAGTTAATTTTGTGTAATATGGGCCTTTAAAGATGCAATAAGTCACTTTTCTGATGGGAGTTTACCATCAGTTTGTCTCTGTGTAGATGTTATTGCTTTACCTGTAATGTTATAATGGTTTGCAACATGTTGAAGGCTGACAAAAAATCCTAAAACATCTGAGAATTAAACACAATTTAAAGCAACACTGTGTAACCTTCTAGAAATAGAAAATTAAAATCATACTTGAGAAGATTCTGCATGGAGATAAATGTGTTTTATGTCATACTGTGGAATATTTTAAAGGAACAAAAAACAGGGTGAAAGAGTGGGGCTTTAAATCAACGTATTAAAAAGCTAGAAATCTGTCGATGCTTGGAAAAAAAAAAAAAAAAATCCAAGCATTATGTTGTGTTTCATGCTCAACTTTTTTTTTTTTTTACCTACCCTTTCTAATTCAGTACTACTATTTCTAAGTAACAAAGTACTTAAGGTTTCTTAACCCAGCATTCATGGCAATCACCTATGACTCCACTGTAGCCCATGACAGTATTTTCACCACCATCCCTGGGTCACCTGTACTGTCAGTGTAGCCTCATCCATCACTGGTCTGATGTTGTATACACAGTGCTTGTATTTGTGTATGTAGACTGTGGGTCGTACCATAGGAGGCAGAGCTACCCCGGTCTCAGTGCACACCAGCTGGACCACACAACCATAACACACGAAGCTCTCAGTCAGGGCAAAGTCTGCTCTCTGCTCCTCCACTGGAAAACAGAGACAAAACACATTCTATAGTACATCTATGAAAGGTTGAACTTGAAAAGACCTCTGTTTTACTTCACTCTTAAAGGCCCTGTAATCAGTTTTGAATCATGGGAGAGGAACATGGTTAAGTTTGAAATGTTTGCTCCGTCCTCAGTTTCTTCTCTCACTTTGATGTTGCACCATGACAGAGAAACAACAGTCTGGAACAGTGCCAGACGGTTACCTACACAAGTTCTCATTTCTCAAAAAAGTGTTTTGAGAAATCGACTTTAGTACTCCAGTGTTTCTCAAGGCCTGGTCCTTGGGGCATGTGTTGGGGGTCTCCCAACAAATGTCATCATGACATTGATCATTATATAAACTTATGACAGACAATCCCAAACATACAATATTTTTTATGGAAACAACTACAGTAATAAAATAAGGACAATGAGAAATGGATCTTTCATTCCAAATTTGGGTGTACGATTTAAACTTCTGAATTGTATTGTGTTGGAGACCAAATAAGAGGTCCCTGGCCTCAGGAAGTTGGAGAACCCGTGCTATAGTTAACACTCTGTACTGTGCAGTATTACATAATAGACTCTACAAATCCCAGAATCTCTGCCAATATCTCAAATTCTTTTAATATATATCTACAGATTCATCCTGTTGTTCAAAGAACTTCACAGCCAAAAAATATAAAAATAAAGTTAAGTATACACACTTTTATTAGATTTTAAAGATCCTTCACGGTTCAGATAAGCCCCCCACATTAAAAGCTCAATAAAAAGTAAGTAATCAAATACAGAATATTTGTGTCTCCCCCTCTCAGAAGAGTTGGATAAGAGGGGTTATGGTTTGGTAGTGGGAGGTCTGACCGAGTCAGGGCCACAGTGTTAAATAAATAAGTGCAGATTTAAACAGTGTTACCAGATGAGACACACGTGAAAGGGCCATACACTGACTGTATTCATGCACAGGGAGGAAGGCCTAATGTAAGTGAATAGGCCTCAGCTATAGGGTTAAAGGGCCTGTCCCTGATTTTTATTCATTCTTATCAAGATAAGAATAAAATAAAAAGAAAAAATGGACACTGTACATATAATCTATTAATTTTACATAGCATTTTCTCAAGTAATAACTAATACAGAAGTCACAGAATGTCACTGAATCTTTTCTTCTAATCAGCCTCACGAAGAATCACGGGAAATCACCTGCATGACACTATCAGAGACACTTGATTCTTTGTCACGGTACATTCTCAACTATGATAAAAATCTAAACAGAAGCATGTCTTGGAAGATAAGATAAAGCCTGCATGACATTATTCCAGGCAGTTGTTTCTGTGTCATGGTGCAATATCACAGTAGCAGAGAGGAATCTGCGTGAGCGGTGCTAAAAGTTCAACCAAAAACATGTCCCTGACTCATGGTTTGAAATCAGGTAATTGTAGTAAAATAGTTCAGCTTAGTTCATAAATACAAGAAGCTGGCCTGAAAGTTAGATTTTTGGTGTATTATTCTCCATAACATAACATAAATACTGCACTTCTCACTGTCCCAAGTAGAGGGCGCAGTCTGTAATAAAAGCACTTTAAGGGACATTTACATTAGAATTACCCACGTGTCATATAAAAACTATTTTAAATCAAACTTTCAAGTGTGTCCTGACTATTTTTCAGTGATAATGTAATCTCTTCATATATAAGGGGGTTATGTTTGAGGGAAACCATAAGGAAGTAAGTGCCAGAGACAAACAATTTTATTCAACATCCTTTGTTGGATGAGAACCATGCTAAAACAATTGCCTGTGACTATGCCAGGCAGAGGTTTGTCCACCGTGGTAGTAGAACAGTAGATGAGAAACTGTATTACGGAGGAGAAGGTAAAAGTTAATTTTGACAAAGGTTCTTCATTCATGGTTCAAAAATCTTAGCCTGATTCATCAGCTGGTTTCACCTTCTGGAAACAGTCTGACCACGCAGCATTAGGATTCGTTCACTCGACAGTAGGTGGGTACTTTATTTGACCAATCGCTGCTATTTGGTCGTGATGTATGTAATGCACTACTAATGGGGCTAACTGGTATATTAAGCTTTTCCAAAATCCTGTAGGAAGAATGGCAATAACGTCTTTCCCTTTGATAAAAGTCACTGAACAATCTTAGTTCTGACTTTAAATCCTCGATCTCTGGAATCGTTGCCAATACAGAATGTATGGCTTCATCTACATAAATTTCTACCTCTTTGTTTACTGTTGTACTGTACCACAAGAAGGGACCCAGTAATGGCTTTACAGCTCTTCGCTGATTGGCCGGTGCATGGTCCACGACTTCCGGGTTAAGAAAAATATACCATCCACTATGCAGCAGACCTGAGTTTTTATGCTATTTATTTACTTGTGAACTACAGTAGGTATTGTACAAGCTTAACTCCACTATCAAACCTTAACTATCTTGCCCAATGACAACAGAATCAGTGCTACTGTAACACCCGTACCCATAGTGATGGTGAAAGCCGTCCAGTGGCGGGCGCTGGCCACAAAAGCCCCTCCCTCCACAGATAGGTACCGTGTGGACACAGTCTGAGAGCGCAGGCGGTTAAACAGGGCCACTCTGGAGCACGACGAGATGCACACTGCACACACCACAACAGAGAGCAACAAATGTCAATGGAAAGTTTGTAATGGGTTTAGGGCTGCAAGATTAATCACTTATCAAATTAAAAATTCATTTGATTCTTGTACTAGTTTAACATCGGTCCATATTTCTTTTTTCTCTCAAATCCTAATGTTCCTGGAGCAGTTCATAAAGTGCAGTCTGAACAGAATCTCACAAGAATCTCAAATCACTCATAAACAGTGAAGCCACTAACTACTACTACAGTAACACGTTACTAAGTAACTAAGTAACGCGTTACTGTAGTCTGACTACTTTTTTCAGTAACGAGTAGTCTAATGCAGTGCTATTTCCAAACCAGTAGTCAGATTTAAGTTACTTATCCAATACACTGTGTGTTACTATTTTTGCGTTTCAGGGCAATGTAGGTTATTTATTTATTTTTATTTTTTGGGGACATGGGTTATGTGACCCCAAAGATTGTATAAATCGTATCTGGTGACACGTTTCCTATGATGTTACATCATCTCCGCTCTGCCACGCGTCAGATGTAAACAATGGAGGAAGAGAGGTATGCCTTTTGCAGCTGGAAATAAAACATTATTCTGATTTTATTTCAGTTAAGGATGACAACATAAAGGTTCGTTGTACACTCTGTGCTGGCGACAGTGTTGTCTGCCTTCAAGAAGGGGGTGGGGGATCAGCTGCTGCTGAAAGTAACTAAGAAAGTAACTTGTAATCTAACTTAGTTACTTTTAAAAGCAAGTAGGCAGTAACTTAAATAAATTACTTTTTAAAGAAGTAATCAATAGTCAGATTACTATTTCAAAGTAACTATGGTAACACTGCTCATAAACTCATATCTATCTCCATCATAATCTAATCACTATGTATCATTAGAAAAAACACCATTCGATTGTCCCCCAAAATCTTGCAGCCCTAAATTAGTTCCTTCTAATTTATTACAAAAAATTACAACAAACTCTAAAACAATACTTGGAGACTATTTGGATATGTTAGTACCAAAAGGCCACATGATCTAAAAAGAAAAAAAAAAAAATCCTGAAAAGTTTCTGCAGGACTGCACTGACTGTGCATTAATTATGGTAATATTACATAAGTAGCCTAGGATATGAATTATTTATTACTGTCATGTAGGAATGTGTGTTTTACAGTGCAGTTCTTGACTTCAGTTTGGTCGGGGGCTCTGATCATCTTTTTTTATAGTTTTTTTTCCCATTCTTGCATCAGTCCATGTTTCATATTTTCTATCATCAGAGCTCTCACAGTCTGCGTTCTTCATGGACTGCCTCTTCTGTGAGGGTTTGGAGATGACTTTGATGAGGCGGCTGTGGAAGGAGCCCACTTCCTGTCTGCCCAGGAAGAGACGCAGCAGCAGGCGGAAGTGCTTCCTCTTGTCCTGGTCTGAGATGAACAGGGACTTGGCGCAGGCAAACAGCTGCTGCACACAACACAACAACAACACAACGCATTATAGTCCATTATTGTAGATGAAAGATTAAATTTATTTTCATGGGTTTCTGTCAAACAATTCCTTCCTTATTTAAAAGGACTTCATAAGAATCTTTCTTCATTCAAATTATATAATATTTTGATTTGAATGGCTTAATTGCCTTTGCCACAGAGGAAATATCTCTTAATCTGCAATAACTAGTTTGACATCTAACAACTAGACAGAACATGCTTATATTTGCATATATTTCGGAAACAGTTGATATCAAATCATTTACTTTCTATTTTTGGTTTTCCCATTTTGACACATGGGAATATTCAGGGTTCCCACTCATTTTCACTTACAAAATTTCAAAACTTTTCCATGACTTTTTCATGACCTAAAGTGAATTTTCAATGACTTTACAGCACCCTAGATGTGTAGAACTGATCATAATTTTAGGGCTAAATATGAAATTTTAGCCTTTTCCACTGACCTTATGGTTTGGTATTATAGTTTTTTTTATTGTCGTCTCTTTTAAACAAAAGGCACAGATGTTCAGAAATAATCATAATAGCCTAACTTAACAGAATGCAGTAGTTACTAAAAATTCCATGACATTTCCAAGCCTGAAATGTCAAATTCAATTTACATAACTTTTCCAGGATTTCCATGTATAATTATTGTTAAAGCCATGCTGTAGAACATTCCAAGCAGACCTATAACATCTATATAAAAACAAAAAGGTGGTGCCCTCCTACCTGAAAAAAGCTGTGAACCTTCAAAATGAGGAAATTACTAAATATTATGTTTTTGCTCATTTATAATCTATCAGAGTTCATATGGACTCCAGGTATGTTTTTGATGACAATGTTCTAAGATCAAAAAAGTCAATACTGCATGATATGTGTCTTTTAATCGTCACATTTTAGCCAACATTACATTAACTCATTCTCCCTTGTAGTCCAGGGAGCTGTATTGTCCTCTGACAGTAGAATGTGGATGTTAAACACCTTAGTGCTTCCTCTGAGAGTAAAGTGACAGTGGACAGAGCACACTGAGCCTGTGTTGAGCTGTTTGTCTCCTAAAAGCCTTTGTAAATACACTGTACTTCTGGACCGCCCGGACAAAGAGCTCAAGTTCAAAGACAGAGCAAACTAGAGTCACAAACGCATTAGCATTCTTTCCACTCGGCAACACGTAACCGGACAAGAGAAATGTGAGTAGATGCAATTTGTTTTCATTGTCAACATAAAACAATTTTAGAATGATTGAGGAAAATTATCACTAAACACTGAGTGATTCACAAAATTCAAAACACTAAATCTGAAGAGAGGTGACCCTGTTTTTTTTTTTTTTTTATGTATTAAAAATAAATGCAATATAGATGTTTAAAGGTGCATTGTGTAACTTTTCTTGTGAAGGGTCCGTCAAGTAATTTTCTCCATGGAGATGTTTCTGCTTTGCTCTGGAATGTTTCATAGTAGGGAATTAAATCTTTCATTTTCATGAGACCAAACCAGCCCAGGTACAGTTCAGACCTGTGAAGAGTCAACCGAGCTCACTGTTTTTTCGAGATATTTGAGTTATCCGGGGTGGGGCATGGGGACTCCCAGACTTCGTCCACCCCAGACACTTCCTCCAGCTCCTCTGGTGGGACCCCAAAGGCATTCCCAGGCCAGCCAAGAGATATAATCCCTCCAGCATGTCCTGGGTCTTCCCCGGGCCTCCACCTGGTAAGATATGCCCGGAACACCTCCCGAGGGAGACGCCAAGGAGGCATCCAGAACAGATGCCCGAGCCACCTCAGCTGGCTCCTCTTGACATGGAGGAGCAGTGGCTCTACTCTGAGCTCCTCCAGTGTGACTGAGCGCCTCACCCTCTGAGGGAGCGCCCAGCCACCCTGCAGAGAAAACAAATTTCGACAGCGTGTATCTGTGATCTTGTCCTTTCGGCCATTACCCAAAGCTCATGAAAATAGGTGAGGGTAGGAATGTAAACTGATGTTAAATCGAGAGCTTTGCCCTTTGGTTCAGCTCCAGCTTCACCACAATGGTCCAATACAGCAACCGCATCATTGCAGACACTGCACCGATCCGCCTGTCAATCTCACGCTCCATCATCCCCATCACTCGTGAACAAGACCCCAAGATACTTTTCTTTTTTTTTTTTTACTTGAACTCCTCCACTTGAGGCAGGTACTCCCCACATACCTGAAGAGTCCCTACAATGGCATATCTATAGAAACAGGTGACTGACCCTCAACCAAAAACTTACACAGTGCACTATATTAGACATCTAGGGATAAACAGGAAGGTTGCATCGTTCTCCTTTAAGATATTATATACATTTTTATCATCATTATAAAGGCACCTAATTATTTACAATAGAAATATTTAGTTAATATTCCGTCTTTACTGTCTCACCCTGGGTTCTTGTTGCTCATCAAACACCAGTTTAAAAGCGTCAGTCTGTGATTGGCTGGAGCTGTCCAGACACATGTATCCTCTGACCTGGTACACCGAGTCTCCAAAGCCAGACGCTATAGGACCACAAAGAAGCACACGAGTACATATAAGCAGATGAAATCACTCTGGGTTTTACTGTGCATTCCAATGTACTGAAATCTTACCTTTGAGATTGTCCTGCATGAGCCTCCATCCTTGACCACTGATGTACACACAAGGAGGAGGACAGAAAAACCTGGAGTATTTTAAAGAACACATATCAGGCATTGTATTATTGCTTTGTTAAACATGCTCTTCTGGTATTTTATGTTTTAGAACTTAACCTATTTTCCAGCTTAGAGGCTCTCCATTTGGGATCTGGTATAAGACTCCAACTACCGGCAGCAGAGGGAATTACCATGGGGAAATACGAACCACATGAAATAACAAATATGCCCTGATGTGTTAATTTAAGGCCTGGAATGAATGCTATTTGCTTAGATCAAGTCTCGTGATTATTTGTGGACAGCATGTGTGACACAACCAGGAAAATTTAAAAATATTCAGTGGTGAAACAGTGGGAGCGGACTGCATATGATGTATCAAACCAGTATGTATGACACTAAATACAACTACAGGTATATTTGTAATACGGAAACAACCCTGATGTGTTCATTTAAGGACTGGAATGAATGCTATTTGCTTAGATCAAGTCTCGTGATTATTTGTGGACTGCCTGTGACACAACCAGGAAAATTTCAAAATATTCAGTGATGAATCAGTGGGAGCGGACTGCATATGATGTATCAAACCAGTATGTATTAGAGCCTGACCGATATGGATTTTGTTGTGGCCGATATGAAACCGATATAATGGGAGTTGGAGCTGCCGATAGCCGATATAATCACCGATATATTTAGTGATGTAAAAATTCACTGTAAATCTTGAATTGTTTAAAAAACTTAGGTTTGGCTCTAATGGATTCTAAATTGGGTTTATTTAGGCAACATTTATTGTTATTCTGACTCTTTACATCATATTTACATACAGTAGATTGGCCTAATGGCATTTTTGCATCACATTCCTGCTACTAGTGATGGGTATTCCATTTTTTTTTTTTTTTTGGAGAACCGGCTCTTTTGGCTCGGCTCACTAAAGCAGTTTTGTTTTGTTGCAAGCAGGACTAAACCAAAACTGAACCAGGACTAAAAAAGGACTAAACCAGGACTAAAACAGATTTAAACCATGTGTAAAACAGGACTAAACCAGAACTGAACCAGGACTGAGTGTCGGGACTAGGTCTCTCTATCTCTCTCTCAAGCCCAAGATTAGTCCTGCTTTATTCATTTTATGCTGAACTGCAGCCAAATATGCACCTTTTTTTTAATCCTATGCACACGCAGATTTCTGAAAGTTTCGTTTCAGCCGCTGCTGCTGTCAAACTACGGGTCTACATGCGGCTTGAAGAGAAAAAGTGAGAAAAAGAGAAAACACGGCTCCCAATAAGAAGCAGGCTCCCATCGTTCACTTCAAAGAACCGACTCTAAGAGACCGACCCATAACTCCTAGCTAGTAAATAAACTACCGCTATTAGCCTTTAGCCGTAAAAACGTGCGCACCGCGGTAATTAATTATATGCATAAATGTGTCTATTCACAGCTCATTTACATATCAATGCTGGTCCAGTAACAAATATACGGCCAATACAGTCACTTTACAATAGGCCAATAGAAAACAGCCTGTTTATGTGCGGGAGCTACAGCAGCTAATCGCTAACAGATAACCTAAACTAGCTTCAAAGTCGATGTATTTCCAACACTCACCGCTCACACAGGCTCCTCCTCACATCACAAGTCTGCACTAATAAAAGTCCTTTTAATCCAGACTCAAGCCGATTGTTCGTAAAAAGAAAATAATCTCAGTGTTGCGCACCGCTGCGGGTGTAAACAAACACATGTGAGTGAAGTGACGTGACTCTGTGGTGTGTTCAGGGACAGTATGGACACAAATTACACCGCAAATAAATACTGATGCGGAGCCACATATTAGGACATTTATCTGTCTAAAAATTGGATTAAATGAACATAATGTAGAGAGTCTAAGCTTTATAACGAGGTATAACATGCCCACGTGAAATATCGGCCCATATCAGCAAGCATATCGGCCGATAGCCGATATGTCTCCAGGTGCCCATATTGGCCGATAATATCGGCCAGCCGATATATCGGTCAGGCTCTAGTATGTATGACACTAAATACAACTACAGGTATATTTGTGATACGGAAACAACATTATACCATGGTTAAAAGAGTTAAGTGAAAGACATCATTCTTACTTTTGTCTTTTTAAAACTCTTTTGCATCACTTACAAAATCAAATGGGAGAATATGGGTTATGGTGAGTACCTCTTCTCGTTGCCGTAGGACTTCTGGGCGACCTTGGCGTGCAGAATAGTGACACTCTGGTCCGTGTGAGGGTCTCTCAAAGCTTCTCTGGTGGTCTCCATAAAGTGACAGGCCTGGAACTCAGACTCCAGTCTCCTGAACATCAACAGCAGCATTTGTAAGTATTTTGGAGTAGTCATCTGAGGTTAAAATGTCTTCAATACAGTACTAATTTTGATAAAATAAGCTTAATTCACAATCAGACACACAGGAAATGACTGCTTGTTTGTGATTGAAAATGTTTTCTATTTGATTCCACCTTAACTTCAATATGAGGGCTCTATGAGAAAAAAAAAAGTCGACCAATATGATATAAATTGAATTAGGGACGCACTGATCCAGCTTTTTCATGTCCAATACCAATTTTGATGCTATACCTTCAAGTATCTGCCCATACCAACTGACTGCAGAGACTGAAAATGGCATTTATTTCCTTTAAACTAAAATAAAATAAGAAATAATTTATCTAAATATGTAGCTGTTCAGCACTTTGGATAACTGTGGTTGTTTTGATTATATGGACAGGCCTCATGTGAAAGCTCAGAACCTCCAGAATTCACTCAGTGAGCTGTAGAGGCTGAACGAGCACTGGTTCATGATTGGCGATGGGTGCTGAGGTTCAGACAGTGACTATTCAAATCAGAGAGAGTCCTTCAAGGTTTAAACCAACAATTTCAGCAATGAAACTGGCAAGTCAAATGAGAGACCCATGTGAGGCCCATTCTGCTTTCAGATTGAATAAACATCTTGAGAACCAAAACATTAAATTATAACAAATAGGCCGTTATGTACAGTGATTTTGTAATCAAGAATACATCAGCATTAGAATTGTTATTAGCAAAAGCTGCATTTGATTTGAACATGTTTACCTCGTATCTGGGAACACAGTTAAGTTTGTGAAATTTAACAGTCAAGTCTTACACACAGTGCCTTTTAGAATTGCCACAGGATAAATTCAGCACTATTTTGGTTGTTCTGATATCTTCCATCAGCAGTTTGATGGCTCTGACTGGAAATGACTCTCTGTGGCTGAGTATTCAGTGTTATGCCCAAACCAAAGCAGCTATAATGTCTCAGCTGTTAGTGTTTGCAGAGCTACTTCCTGTTCACATGATCCTCTGCCTGCTGTGGCTTTAATAGACTCTTAAAATCAGATCCTGCAGAAAAACACACCATGCTTTGTTAATTTTAAGCCTAAATTACCAAATAATTCAAATATTACATGTAAATAAATAAGAAAATTATCTGTCACCATCTTTCTATGAGATATTATTCAGCTAATTTAAAACGACTCTGTAGCTCTTTACACTTTGTTCTGTTAAATGTCAATGTTTTATGACAAGACTAAGTTTTAATGTGGGCTGTAAAACTTTTTTTTAAAACTGTGAGGTACTGTCTGCAACTTTATGCACAATGACTTTTGGGAAAGCAGCACATGTTAATTTTGTCTTTTTTTAAACACACTTTGTGTTTTCTTCTAATAAAACACGGAAGTCCTAGAGCCTCAAAACGCTCTGTTCCACCTTGTGATGTCATGAAGTGGTAGTTTAGTAGTTAACAGATACGTTTTACCTTTAGTTCAGTAGAGATTAGCAATTCCAGGGCTAAAATTATCAGATGATTCTAGTGAAGGTGTATGAAGTTTACAAACACCTCTGTAAAATGTTCAAATTAACCCGCTCTGTGATCCTGGTGTTATTTTAATCTATATATCAAGATATGGACATTAATGACAGTAAATAATGTGTTGGATTATAGGTTTGTCACAATAACATTCTGAAGCAGGGTTCTCCAACGTTTTGTATAAGCTTAGTTACCTTTACAAAATGAAAATGACGGAGAGCTACTCATTTTAGCGGTTGCCAAAAATTGATTTAATATAAGAGGCCTTAGATGTACAGTTAGATGCCTATAAAACATTAAACCATTAGCCATTTATTAGTGCACAAAGATCAAAATCACACAGTTGCAGTAGTAATTAATCAAATTAGAGTTATTTAGTACAATACGTATAATTCAGAGATCCTTTGGCCACAGACACAATAACAGAAGATTTAAAACACAAAAACAATTTTATATCTACAATATTGTTAAAAAACATGAGATACAAGAAATAAACAGCATAATTAAACACTACTATTTAGTTTACATGTGTAATTGAGCGGATCGACAAACTGATCCGTAAAACTGGTCATGTAATCGACTGAGCTAGAGACATTTGTCACAGTGAAGGACAGGAGGACAATGGACAACCTGCTCTCCATTATGGACACTACTGCTGCGTTATTGCTACTTATTTAGAAGTTCATTACCATTTTTCATCTATTTTTTAGTCTGTTATTGTAATATAATGCAATGCGAGAGCTACTGTGTCCAAGTAATTTCTCTTGTGGATCAATAAAGTCTGTCAAAGTCTAAGTAATGGGTTATAGAAGTTGTTAAATTAACCTTTTTATGGCTTAAATCTGATCATATAACCAAAAAAATAACCCAAAAATTCCCAGTAATGCAAAGAAAAGCCCCAAAATATATTCCGGCTTTCATATTCAACGATATAGTAATTATTGTGACAGGCCTAATGGGGAAGTGGCGTTTTTTAATGGTGGCGTGTCAACTCCGGACTACGAATCTGCTATAAAAAAAAAAAAAGTGTTGATGATAATGAATAGTATGGAAGCCATCACACAAGAATAGCTGCAGCAGTGCGATCCAAATAATGTGATTAACGTCAGCCAGAGTTGGTTTTGGCCCATGGAGTGTGTACGGGAGTGTGACTAATAGAATCTGGTCTTGACAGGGAGTTAATGAGTGAGCAGCCTCTAAAACAGCAGGAGCACACTTTAACAAGGCCAGTCCGCCACACTCACAAACACTGAGCGCACACACACCTGGGAAAAGGGGGTAGAAGTCAACTGTGGTGAAGAGCAAGGAGCAAGTTAGCTTCCTCTGGTGCTTAAAAACATGTGTGACGGGGCGTTACACATGTCAGGGGTCTCTTTAAGGGCCCATATTACGCTATTTTCTAATCTATGTTCTGTTTTCTCCTCAAAAATATACCCGGAGTTGTGTGTTGTTTCATTCCCACATGTTTAACACACAAACCCTGTATATTTAGTTATTCCCTCAAACAGAAAACAGTCTGGTCCACCTTGTGATGTCATGTGGCAATACAGAAAGTGCCCCGCTGTGTTTTTTAAACTAGTTACACCTTCACTAGAATCATTTAGACTTAGATAAACTTTATTGATCCACAAGGGCAATTATTTGGACATAGCAGCTCACACATCACAGTATAATATAATAACAAAGAGTAAAAAATATAAATGGTAATAATACATTGAAATAATATAAATAAGTATAATAATTTGGATAATTTTAGCCTTGGAATTTCCAGTCTCTACTAAAAAAAAGGTAAAAATTAGTTGTTAACTTGAAAATCACAACCACATGGCATCCCAAAGTAGAACCGAGCATTTTGAGTTTGGAGATGTAGACAGACTAATTGACTGAAACAAAACACAACTCCAGTGTGAGTGGCTAGCAGTCTCATTAGGGCCTTTCCTATGTTTCCTTGTGTGTGTGAGTGGTCACATTGGGCACTCTGGTTTCCCCCATCAACATAAATCAACAGGCGAAATCCTCCAGCTGAGACAGGCCAAAGTCCAGTACAAGATCTGGGCGTACTCCCAAACACTGGTGGCCCACTTATCTGACCAGACATTCTGTCCTCGTTTCTGTTTGAATGCAGAAAGGTGTTTAAACAGACCATAAAACGTGATAAGGGAATGTCCTAACTTGAGACTGTTCAAGCACAGCTGATAATTTGTGTCACGTTTCTCAAATGCAGAAGTCATCTCTTGAATATTCTTGAATCATTTAAAACAAAATATATAACGGATCATGCGTTTCTCTGATTGGTTATTACACCTGTCATTCAAACCAATCAGAAATCAGGGAGACAGGATGTGATGTCAGACCCACGCGTCTTTGTAAATTTTAGTCAAAGTGTGTGGATCTGGCTGGACAGGCAGGTCACCCACTGTGTCTGTCAGGTTGTCTCAGCAGCACTGAAGCATGGTTCAAATGCAACAATCTCTCAAGGATCTTAAAGTGGGACTTAACACCTAAACTCCTCCCAAACCTCACAGTAGTATAGCAGTGCCTGGAGGACTAATGGGGAGTTAGGGGGGAGGAAGGGTGGGGTCTGGAGGTAAAAGAACAATGTGATTGGTCTAAGGAAGTCCAAACTTCAAACTCCACCTCTACAAACAGGTATAGAAAATTAGGGCAGTTCTACATGATGTCACATAGTACTTGAAATAACAGCATACAATTTTAAAAAAATGTTGGTTACCAGTGTCTTATGTAGGGCTCATTCTGCTTTCTGTGTAATCATCTTGAGAACCAAAACACCAAATTCTAACATAAACTTGGCCACCAAAGTTTTTGTAATTCGGGAAAAAAAAATCAATATCAATATTACAATAGCAGCACACAGTTTGGTTATTGTTAAATTTTAAACTTATCTATGGCTACTTTAAACTAAACCTTATTATTTTTTTTATTTTTTTTACATCATAATATAGGAACTCTGCACCTCTCCTGGTTGAAATGACCTGTCCTGGCTGCGACATACACTACCGGTCAAAAGTTTTAGAACACCCTAATTTTTCCAGTTATTTATTGCAATTCAAGTCGTGCAAGTCCAATGAAGAGCTTGAAATAGTACAAAAGGTAAATACTGAACAGCCAGAGGTTAAGAAAAGATAACAAAACACAAGTCAAAGCTCTGCCAAAACTACCTCAGGAAAAAAAGAAAAAGATGGTAAACTTGAAAACATGGAGTGTCCAGCACAGTCTCCAGACTTAAACCCCATCGAGCTGTTTTTTTTTTTTTTTTTTTCCGATTGAACTGGACAGAAGAGTGAAAGCCAAGCAACCTACAAGTGCCACACATTTATGGGAACTTCTGCAACAGCCTTGGGAAGAACTTTCTGAAGAATATTTGATTTCTATTGTTAAAGAACGAGCCATGAGTGTGTTCAGCTGTTATATCTGCCAAAGGTGGACACTTTCATGAATCAAAAGTTTAGAAT